ATGTGCACCGCCTGAACAAGATGGATTACAGTACTGGTATCGGTACTCTGGTTTCTACTGCATAGGTAAAACTAGGTAGGTTGAAAAAACTTAAGATTATTATCCACAAAATTACATTACTCACTTGTTTGGCAAACTCGTTGACCTGAGCATCATTGGTAAACAGCAACATGTTAGCGGCATCGCGAGTACTCAGCAACTTGAACGACTTCTCAACTGATAGAGCGATATCGCTTCTGAAAAGGATTTGCGTAGCTATTCGAGAATAGACACTTTTTCTGAAAATATGATTGTACGAACACTAAAAAGGGTACAATATTTCAAGAAAAGCGAAATAAGTTGGGAGAATTGAAGAGCAAAGAGCTCGTCTGTGCCTCTCATACAAATTGCGAACTCTTCACTCGCCAGGATCGGCTTTATAAGAGCGAAGATGGCCAGAGTCGCACTTCAGGGCACAGCATTGTTGGGAGATTCCCACTGGTGGGTTGTATTTAATCGAATGTAGATGGGGTACATTTGCATTTGAGACAATTTTTTCTGAACCGTGAGAACAAAATTAGTGCGGCTGCTGATTTTTCCCACTTCACGCGCACTCCCCCTCCTTTTTTTTCTTTTCGATGCAGCCGCGAAACTATTGCATACCTGGAACTTCTGATGGCTGACTGGCGAAACCCCTGCCCGACTCCAGTTTCTAGGGAACGATTTGGAAGAATATGGCAGGATGGCATGAGAAAGATGGGAAGAAGGTCGTACCAGGGAGGGAATTTTCGGTAGGTTGCACCGGAAGAGGAAACTGTAGGACCGCAAGGACATAGCCATCTCGCCCATACCGAAGCAATACCCTGTAGAAGCAATACACTTATGTTGTTGCGTGCCATTTCCTAACCACCTTACCCACGAACAAAAAAAAACAGATTAGTAGAAGCATAAGCCCAAAGAAAACCACTGGAAATGAAAAATCATTGAGTTAATTGAAAACCAATAAAGGATAAATAATCAGGGAGGTTTAACGCAAAGAAGTAGCTCTGTTTCTGTTTCTCTCTTTCGAACCGGTTCATATGAGAAAATACTAAATGTACCTGACTGCATCCATCATAATTCGGATGAAAATGCTGTAGAACTGGCTGGGAATTGTTTTCTCCGTAAGGACCACCTGAATAAATGAATGTTCTATTGAATTAGAAAATAGCCTAGCGGTAATTCACTAACCTTATTGTACGCTCCTTCCATTAGCGATTGTTCCAAACGAACAGGAGTTGAAATGTAAGGGTTGTTAGATTGGATGCTTTGCGGAACAGATTCGAGCAGCTGCAACAGACAATATGGTAGCAGTAGTGTCGCACATGCCCATTTATTTACTCATGTTACAAGTTATTTACTCGGACCCTGGTAAACATGTTCAAATCAAAAAAAACAGTTAAAGAAAAGCTTGAGTTGTCATAAGAAGAAAATGATAACTAAATGTACTGACCATGTGGAAATCAGAGAGACGGTTGCTAGCCAGCAGGAACATTAGGTTCAGTCCGATCATAAGATATTTGTTCTCTGCGGCAGAAGGACATTGGTCGTAAAATGAGAGAACCTTAACGAACACATTTGAAGACTTTGATATAAGCTATGCTGAACACAAAACTTTGAAGATAAACAAAACAGTTTGAATTCCATGTCAAAGAAAATGAACTGGTTTAACGATCAACTATCCGCGAAGTTTCCACGAGAAGCCACAAGCAAAAAGGAGGATTTATTATTAAGGAGTCCTCTACATTCGACACTCTCAGACCACTCTTAGATTCTAGTACTATAAAACTGGTCATCCAGATCTTGAGGTGCACTAGAAAACCGGAGAACGCGAAAATGATTACATCTGTATCACATGAACACATCTGTAGCACATAAACTGCAATGAAGCACAGAGCGCGGTGGGGGGGGTCAACACGACATGGAAGAGCTGCAGTATAGTGCTTCCCATAAACACCAAGCCGTTCGTCAGCAACTACACTTTGCGTCTGCTGACTGGTCCTACTCTTCAGTCCAGGGCAGTTCGAAGGTAATAGGTTCACGAGGTTTTGAAAAAATAGGCGCAGTTTGGCTTAGTGGTGGCGTTTAGCTCCATCCATTCCCGCCGATGCCTCCTAAGGAGATCTGCTAATACCACTAAAGGAGCGGAACTAGGCACAGCAGGAGTTCGTCTACACTTAACAAGGGTCTACAAGTCATATTAAGGAGGTACGTGTAATTCAACAGGAACCAGAACAAGAAACTGGCGAAAGTGCAAAATCCCCCCGTCTAATCCGAACATAACTGAAAAATGGAAACGTGAAGGAGAACTTAAACCTACTCTAGGGATTGCATCATCAAATGCTGCCATATCATTTCTCAAAACGGCGACAAGAGCGCTGATTTCGTAGTAATCCCTGAAGTAAGGACCAATCAACAACACTTCCTAGGGAGAATCGTTACAACGCTGCTACTTATTGAATACCTAGTAACTTCAAATCATATGTCAACTCGTACCAAATCACAACCGCAGTACTACGGTATCAAAAAGGCTAACAATAAGTCGAAAAACTAACTTATAAATAGTAGTTAGCGCTTTAGCATCTAGAGAGCCGATAGCTGCTTGGTCAAACAATGCTTCCTGAAATTTCGTGTTAAAAGAGTATGGAGAATGGAATAAAACAGTATTAAAAGAACAAAAAGTAATACAAAGTTTTCGAAATACAATGTTTTCCAAAAAAACTGAAATGATAGGCCAAAAGATGGCCCCGTATTATATCTATGTGAAATAGTGGCATAAAATGCTTGACAAATTCTTTTATCTGGTGTAATACATGCCAACCAGTAATAGGAACATCTAAAACATTTCTCCGAGCTGTAAGAGAAGGATTACTTCGAGCTTATAAGTGTGATTTTCAAGAGTTTACGATTTATGTGGTTTTTGAACTTCCGTGATCCTTTTTTATTTCATTTATAAAACTCTGAGTAGAAGCAAAACACGAAACGGTTCACCTCCATTTGCTTAAGAACTTGTTCAATTGTATTTGTATTCTTCTGCTCCTTACTCCACTCTGCTAACAACGTTTTATGCATCTGAGACAGTGAGGCCACCATTATGATCTATGATGAGAGATCCAAACTGAAACTAAATGAGTGAATCTCGACCTGCAGACTTCCGATCTTGCAAAGAATCAAAAAGGGAAGGTGAATCAAGGAATGGCTAAAACAGAAATACGGAAGAACAAAAAGGAAAAAGCTGATGATGACGTCTGTGGCGCAGAAAAGTTCGATTGGAGCACCGAATTGGCGAACAGGAGCATTGAAATTGCGATGGGTAATGCCATCTTCATACATAATAAGTTTAAAGAAATGACGAAACTGCGTATAGGAGAACGTAAACTTATTTACTCGAAGAATGGCGGAGTTGGAAGAAATGCAGAAAACTGCAGAAATGCCGAAATGACGGGCGATGACTTGGCCCTGCCCGGGGGAAATGCCGGTCTGCAGAATTTCGGCATTCCTGCAGGATCATTTCTCTTCACTCCGCGGTTCTTCAAATCAAAATGCAGTCTTTCCTCTATCATTTGGTCATTCTTCGAAATGGTAATGTACGATTGCGACCTAACTTAAGCATTTCTACGACCGCGGCTGTCAGGGAGCATTTCCGCGATGGGAGCAATTCCCCGAGCTCGGGAGTTGAGTTGAACCGGTCTGGAAAAGCGGACACAATGACCGTGAGGAAGTCTCTCCTGGCTGACGTGGCTGACAACGAACGCTACCGCCTTTAGATACGACTCTACCCCAAATTTCCTGCTCCAGTGCGACCTCACTCCCCCTTCCACAGCCAACCGATCATCTTGTCGAACTTTCCCAAGTATTTGCTGTGCCGGGGGCGGAGGGGGTAGGTGATGGTATTGTGGCCCCACCATAATATAATCACTGCACATCAGTTGGGGATTTTGGTCCAGTCCGTAAGACCCCCCCTGAAAGGTCCCTTCGTTTGACCTTCCTAGTTCCCTCCTCCGATCGAGCTGTTGAGCGGGGGGGGTACATGGTGCACTGTGCACCTGAAACGGGAAAATCGGCGAGAAAATACGACCCCTCTCCCATCTAACCTATCACTTTCTTGAATCTCCCAACTTCTTATCAGTTTTCCCGGAATTTCACGAACTTTCCGTACTTTTTCCCCGCCCCGAAATCTTGCTGTCGACCGAGAGGGTATGTAGCACATATAACTTCGGAACAACCGCGAAAACATCACAGTCGAAAAAAAGTTTCCCAGACAGCGCGAACGCAAATACGATCCCCCTCCCTAACAACGCCCGAATACGACCCCCTCCCCTTAGCGTCCGTGAAACAAGAAAAATCGACTATCAAAAAAATTTTTCAGACCAAATACGACCCTCTCCCCCGAAACGACAATGCGCCGTCTGTTCAGAGTAGATGGGCTTTGCAGTCGTTTATTGAGGACTGCTTGATCGAGCGGTTAGTGGTAGAATGCTTACAAAAGAGGGCGTAACTCTAACATCAGGCGGGGCCGCGCCTGGTCTATCTAATCTGCTCACCAAGGGTCATAAAATACATTGCTAGGGGCCTAAGTCACATTCACATGATATCGGAGGCATTCCAGAACACCCTCCATATAAAGTGGATGTATACATAGTGCGCTTGAAAAGAAAAATCCGCCATCAGAAAGTTTTTTCCGATGGCAGATTTTTCTTTCCCTCTGGCGAGCCACCCCCGTGGAGGATCCACAACATACAATCGGCCCTCTTTATGGATACCTCATGTACTGGCGGTTCAGTGGTTTTGTAGTGTGCAGAGGAGGCGAAGTCCAACCGTTTATCAGGTTACAGAGACGAGTGGGGCTACGTCCACGCCTCGTAGAGTAGGAGGCGGGGCGTAGAGGGAGAGGGTCATCTCCATCGTGGCGATGACAGAGTGATGCTGCTGATAATGATACAATACTGACGGCCAGTGTTCACTGTAGTAAGTTTTTAGAAGGCGACTTAACTCCTGATCGAAAGGCCCTATTCCTTCTATGTGTACCACGACAAGGCGCACTCGTACACGGGGGGCGGGTAACGTGATAACGGAACTCGGTGAGGAAGGATGGCTGACCCATCCTACACAACAGCCTTATGGTTGGCACTTGGTTAGCTTCCACATGCGATTCAGTGATTGAAAATCTGGGGCAGTTCGGATGGTGAGGGCAATGGTAATCGGCGAAGCCTGCACTGGGTGTGCAGGAAAGGATATCCAAATCGGACACTTTTCAAACCAAATCGGACACTTTTCAAACCAAATCGGACACTTTTCAAATCAAATCGGACACACCCCTTACAATGGGCAGTTGAGAACTAGACCACACTAGGTACTGCTGCAAGCCCCGCCCCAACACCCCGCCCACTTCTTAGCGCGGCCGTGGTTTTCCAAATGTTTTATGAATTCTGCTTCTTCGAATTTTTTTCACTTTTGCTACTTGACACACACATTCAACTGAATAGGTTTGCTACCGACACATATATGACTCCGCCCACTTCACAATGAAGTGACGTAAGTTCTGAATTTTTATAACTTTTTTCGACGTTGTTTTTTCACATTCAATCTTCACAAAACGAATATAGCCATGCATTTACACACTAGCACACTAAGCTCCGCCCCTCTGACTACCACACTTTCGTTTTTCGCGGAATTTTGATTTTTCTTCCGAATTTTCACTTTTTTAGGCTGTGACAAGCGGCCCCGCCCACTAATGGAAGCTCCGCCCACTTTGTAGAAGCCCCGCCCACTTTTCAAAAATGATGCAGATCGGCGAGCTAGTGACCGTACTAGCAGGTTATGGCCTCTCCCGTCACATAGAATGAAAAAAGGGAAAGACCAGAAAAAAGGGAAACTTTGTTCCGGGTGACGGCCCGGAACAAAGTTTCCCTTTTTTTTGTTCATGCCCCCCAAGCCGAACAGCGCCGAAAAATTTCAATGCTCGACCCAACCCAGAAAAGAGATCAGACGTCTCTTCTTATTGTTGTCGCGCTTTTCTGCATGTGCAGTACCGCACCAAGCTGCCCAACTCATAGACCCTACTACCAGAAACTTAAAACGATAACTTTCTCGATTGAAGGCCTCTTCCTGTAAAAGAATTACCAGTATGAAAGCTTTCCCGAAATATCACAGGAATTCTTGTCCAACCAATAAATCAGTTATAGTTAAAACAAATACACAATTCTCGTCCGACATCTCCGCAAGACTTTGCAACACTAGCGAGCGATTGAGCTGGAATCAGGAACGTCCTGTCAATGGAGAAAACTGTCGCATTATACAGTCGTTCCTCAATTTCCTACTCGGTTACGATTTTTTTCCGGCACTATTTACCCTTTACTGCCCCAATCTTCCAAAAACAGGCCAGTTTTTGACCGACTTTTTTCTGCCTTGGCAGAATTGGCTGAAAATTTGCTCTCTGAGGTAGTTTGACCTCCGTGAAGATGAACACCAGCTAGGCACGAAACCTCCTGGCGCCCGCGCCACAGGCGCCGGCGCCAAAATACCTTAAATTACCAAATTCGCTGAAAACTTGTTCTCAGGGGTAGTCTGACCTCCTGAACACGAATATCACATCCGCTCGGCCTGAAACCAAGCGCCCGCGCTACAGGCGCTGGCGCCAAAATACCCCAGATCACCGGCGCCTGTGGCGCGGGCGCCAGGAAGTTTCGGGCTAAGCGAATGTCATATTCGTATTCAGGAGGTCAAAATACCCCAGGAGACAACATTTGAGCCAAATCTGTCCACGGAGAAAAAAGTCGGTCAGAAACTGGCTCAATTCTGGATGGTTGGGGCAGTAAAGGGTAAATAGTGCCCTTTTCCTCGTCCTACCTGCCATGTCAAAGACATTTTCTAGCTTCCCACCTTTTTGCGGATTCTTCTTTGCCAAAGTTCTCCAGTTCTTCCCCAAAGAACCGCCATCGACAGCGAGGAAGGGTAGGTACAGCGCACGTGAAAGGAGGAACCGCAATAACTCAGCAACTGGAAAATTTCTCACATAGCGAAATCCGACTAAACACCGAGGATTCTCCAGCCGACGTCATGTCCTGGCAAGGCTTCATTAGCTTTGGCAACACTGCGAAATCGAAGCTTGGCACTTACAAGGGAGGTCTTTCAGGTCGTGGCGCGCTTTTCAGAAATGGTTTGTTGCATGTTGTAGGGGTCCATATAAGGATCACAAAAATGGGTTTCGTTTTTGCTATGCGCTTCTGGGGAGGTCAAAAAATGGGTGAAAAGTTTGCTGGGGAAAAGCGATTTTGAACCATTTTTCTAGGCTTTTTTCTATCTCTAATGTTGAGTATGCACAGCAAATGAGACCTTCGTCGACACTGCATCGAAATACAAGTCAAGTGAAAAAAGTACGTTTTGGCACACAGTCGAGGCAGCAATTGTAGTTTCTCGAGGTGATTCTCGCAGGCAATGCCCAACCTGGCATGTTAGAGTCGGGGGGGGGTATTCAGAGCGTGTTGGCGCCCAAGTGAGCCTAGGCCCAGTTATAAAAGCGCACGAATCGTGATTCAGGGCCGTACAATAATCTCTATATCAGAGGTTCAGCGAGCAAATTTCTGCCTACTGAGCGCTTAACATGCCGATGCGTGCGGGAATGACAACAATTCAGTGCATAGAATGCTCTTGCGGGAAATCGGCGACTAGGCTGCCAAAAATTAGTGTCGTACTCGTGATTTAGGGCATCCAGTCATCCTACGGAGCCCAACTTTCAGCAAGAGTTTCCTCAGTAATGTTTCGAGAGCGCAATAGTTAAGTAGGGTCGACTCGTGAAGTTTGAGTGTACAGAATGAGCTCTTAAATGGCATATATCCATGTTATATACATCACCACGCACGCAGGAACACAAGGAGACAGAAATCCGAAAAATGCAAAAAATCCCGGCGTCAAGAGGATCCGATCCGCAAACCTTCTCCGTAAGAGCCGACCGCACTATCCACTCCGCCATCCGCCGACCACGGAACTGGTTGCGGGAGTCGTTGAAGTAACTTCGGTACTACTTTTCTCCATGCATTTTTTTTTACTTTATTTTGCTTTTTTTCTTCTTTTTTACTTTTCTTCTTTTTTTT